TACATTTCTTTAGAGCTGATCTGATAAGACTTCCTACACAAGGAACAACCTGATTCGTATTATCTTGACTTGGAGTGGAAAGAGAGGAGGCTCACTCGAACCAAAGGCTACTCAAACTTTGAGAGTTCTTGGTACTTGGCTTTCTCGGAGGACGAAGATTTGTGTTGTTTTGTGCTATTTTGCTTTGTTAAGAAATCCTATTATTACATTTTTCATATAATAGTTCTGATTAAAAACTTTTACTCTTCATCCAAACAGTGTGGTCTGCCTGGCTTTTACAATAACAAGCATTTACAGTAATTTGTTGATGCTCTCATAATATCATTGCATGATACCATAATGAATCCATGGTTCTCTGGGTACAGTCGCACAAGGAATGCGATTTGTAGGCATCGGACTCGAATCAGTACTTGTGCTTTACAGACACCATGCTCTTTATACCTTACACTTCCAGGAATTCAGAGTCCTGAGTACTAACTTTTTACAATATTTTGTTTGAAGATTGGGCAAAATGGATGTAAGACATTTATCTCTGTTGCCCTTATTTTGAGTAGCATTGACTACTCCGATAATGAAGAATGTGAATGAACATCCTTCTCCTAACCCTTAGAAAGCCTCCATTATGACAACGTTAGGAGGGACCGAGAGGCTTCGAAATTTCGGGGTCAAAACAGGCTTGAAACGATGAGGATCTGAGTTTCCAATGCACGAACTATCTAGCACATCGGAGGCGCATGTTTAATATCTGATATGAAGTGCAAGCCATAGGTTCAAGATCGACGTCATCGGGTTGCCCGACACAGGAAGACATCTTTTGAAAGCCGTAGGTCTTCACTTCTTTCATGCTCATCGGCTGACATCGAGCCTACGAGCTCGAATAAAATAAGAACAGCAACTCATATGCTTCTAATCCTTCGGCGAAACCACTTTGGAGCTTGCAAATTCGAACGCACATCTGTGATCATGAACCCTTTCTACCACTCAAACCACAAAAGAGAATTCGAATCTCAAGAACTAGGGATAACTATATTAATTTTAAAAATGGACTCTAATAGACAGCTTTTGTAAACATACTCACCTGTAAATTTCCTGGAGGTGATTTGGCATGCTTGACAGGATGTGAATCTATCAGACAGTTAGCTTTTGTTCTTCCTATCGGGTAAGGAGAATCGGATACGACAGTAATTGTTTTTGTTTTTCTGCGAAAGACGTGACGATTATTCCGAGTAATAAGTAGAAGGGGCCGGTTATTTTGCAAAAACCGCCCTGTATTTCAGCAGCTTTATCACTCGCACGTATCTTCATTTGATTTCTTCAGCTTCCAGAGGTGCGTTTGACTTCTATTTCCTATCTGATATAAATATGACAACTTAGCATCCATTTCTTGGCTTCCACATATGAAATTTGGCAGATGGCCATTGCAGGCAAGATAGCCCATGCACCAGTACTCTGGCACCTCCCAAAGTGCCAGAGTACCAGTGCTAACGCTAAAGATACAATGAGCTCTTTAATTCTTGCCTTCTTAGGCTTTTTATCGGGCCCTGTTAATTAATATCACTTATTACCAATTACCATCAGTGATCCTGCAGCTTCCTGCATTGTATTACTTCAACGCTCTCGGTCTAGACGGACAGGAGCAACGAAGTTCCGATCAAATAGACACACACAAATAAACAATCACACCTACAACTCAGCAGGCCCACTCAGCATACTGTACGTAAAGTAGGGAGTATGCCTATTTTCATTTGTTCAGTAAAGTTTTTACGATCCAAAGTTGTAGACGCATGTTTCAGACCACAGGAGCTTCTTCTAAGTACCTGAGTTGCAAGTCCCATCGACAGCTTTTTTTTCATATTATTCGTCGAAGCTCTGACGAATGTTCGTGTAGAATCAAAATGTTTCCGAATACCAAGCCAGATGTTTATCACGTTTTATATATAGTAATTCCAACAGTCAGCATAATTGGGAATGGACTTATCGTCTATGTAACAGTGCGTTCAAGGTAACTGCTCGACAATGGTTTTGTTTTGTAGCATAGCAAATGTATTTTTATTTCAGGGCATTGAGAAGTCCTTGTAGCATACTCATTGGTTTGTTATCCCTCAGTGATATGGTGCTGGTCTCATCTCACCTTATAGCCACGGCCTTTCACAACATGTATGTTTGGTTTCCGAAATATTTCTTTCAAATGATGACAACTATGCAAATGTTGCCTTTTATTTGAAGCAGAGCTCAGTAATCGCATTTTTAAGCTACACTGTCAGTTAGAATGATGGATGGTCCTCTCTCGACGTTCTTCTCTGCTCTCTGCTATCAGAGCGATGTCATCAGCGTATAGGATGGTAACGCTGATGACATCGCTCTGATAACAGAGAGCAGAGAAGAACTCCAGGAGAAGCTGCAGAACTGGCAGAAAATGCTGGCGTAATGGGCTCCAGCTGAACGTGAAGAAGACCAAGATCCTCAGCTCCGAGGAGTGCACGGAGTCAATCGTAGACGGTCTCGGGGAAGTGATCGGAAGGGTACAGGACTTCCGATAC